TATTCCTTTCAGTTTTCCCCCTCCCCTTCAAGCACCAAACCACCACCTCCTTTGTCTTTGCAGTCTTTGCTTTACCAATTACCTTTTCTCTCTTTTTTCGTGATTTTGTGTCAAATTTTGACATTTTGTGAAATAGAATAATGATTTCAAAAGTAAGGTAACTTGCATCATTGAAAGTTTTGCCATTTCCACACTTATGTTTTCTACACTTATGTTTTATAAAACTCCAAATCCCTTACCTTCATTTGACTTACCTTATGATGTAAGGAAAGGTAGAATTATCACTTACATTAGCAATTTGCTTAGATTTACCACAGCCTTTTATCAAGAATTGGCTTGTATACAATGAATTCCTTTCACAGAAGTGTTTTAAAAAATAATCTTTTAATTACAAAAACTCCAACCATGTGCAAACTTAGGGAGAATAATATACCACCAAACTTCTGTGTACTCATCATCCAGTTTCAGCAATTACCAATTCATGGCCAGTCTTTTTAATCTATACTTCTACCCTACAATAGTGGTCTTTAACCTTTTTAGGAAGAATATAAGGAGAGCTATGAACACCAAAGAGAAAGGATATGGATGTAGAATTTTCGCAAACAGTTTTAATACGTTCATATACTTGCTGAAGCCCTTCCATGGATGTCCTAGGAATCTAAGAATCCAGAATAAGAATTCCTGCATTCCAGCAAAAAGGACACTGAATTTTCTCAGCTTTTCTGTTCACGTGAATGTAAGGATTGGGGATTAGCAAAGGTCCTCCTATGAAAGCAACAGTAAAGTTAAGCCAATGACAGGGTTTTTTAATGATTAAATATTCGTTAGAGAATTTCATAATATACTCCCTTACTGCCATTTTCAGCTTCTTTTCCCTTTGGTTGCTTGTTAGTTTCTCTTCTAATTGATGGTTCTTTTACAAAAGTTGACAGACTTGGGAGACATTCAGTGACTCAACTCTCAAGGCCTAACAACTTTAGAATTTCATCCAGAGCTTCTGAGTTATTGCTAACAGCTAAAAAAAAAAAAAAAAAAAAAAATTAAACTATCTCTCACTATATATCCAGGATAGAATAAATAATAATGAAATGCATTGAGTTGTTAAGAACTTAATAAAGCTGAAGTTTCCATTAAAGAGGATACTAGCTTTTAAGTACAAATTTTAATTAATAAAGCATATTTATCAGAACTGTAGGGATGGCTGATTGGACATGACAAAAGGGTAATCTTTCTTTTTCTCAACCTGCTTCACATCCTTCTTTTGTCAGCTGGTAGGTACTTCGCTAAGCCTCCCTCTGAAATAGCTGTGGTCATAGGGTAGACTCAAAACACGAGCAGTTAGTAAAGCATGCGGGATTCCCCTGTAGAACTATTTTGTTTTTGAACCCCATACCATCTGATCCTGATGTGAGCGAAAAGTATTTTTTAAAAGCAGGTAATAATAATATATTATCTTTTCTCTTCGGCATGGTTTCTCCTCTTTTTCTTCTTTGTGTGGGGAGCTGGGGGACAGAGTAAGGTGTATGATACTCATTTGAGTATGGTTAAAAATATTTCTATTAAAGTGATGATTCAGAAAGGAACCACCCTTATTTATAGATAGCCCCCACCCCTTTTTTTTTTTAAATCCTCCATTCTGGCATTCCCTCTATATTATGGTTGGGAGTACTTTTAATATTTTATTTAAGAGGGAAAGAATCAACAACAACAAAAAAAAATCCCATAATGTTTAACGGTTATATCCATTCAACAAATACACCAAAATAAATATATGATCATAGAAGGCAGATATTCATATATTTCATATATATATTTCTATAGATGTGTGCAATCCATATAACATAGATCAACTTGTTTTTATTAATTGATGTTTCTGCAGTATTTTGAAAGTTGTATAATGTGGGGTTTTACCCCATTACAGGTTGGGAATACACAGTCTTCACTCTGCAGTACCTCCTTCTTTTGAGAGAAGGTTGAATGCCTAATCCCTGTGCTCTCCTTGGGCTTTGTTCAAGGCCAAATTTGTCAAGAAATTTTTCAGGAAGCTCAATACGAAAATATCACATATAAAAAGATTAACCATCACTTTCAATACATTTTAAAATATTTTCTTTTTTATAAGTGTCCTAAAAATTTGTTTCAGATATTTTACAGATTCCATCATGGTTCATTTTTTTTGTTATTTGGACTGAAGTTGAGCTCTCTACTGTTTGAGTGCCCTAACCTCTCTCAATAGAGAGATGTCTAAGCACCTGTTTAAAAAAAAATAAAGATGCCTGTTGCCTGTAACAAAAACTATCCCCACCTACAATTTATTAAACCTTGACATACTGCATTACTTAAGAATTCTCAGAGAAAATTAAAACCCTTTTGACTGGGTTCTGCCATGCAGGGAAATTTTTAGTGACATTTAAAAGGTTTCTCTTGTGTTCCTCTAATGGGATAAGTAAAAAAGGCTTGTTTTAGCCCAGCAAATGGGGGGACAATCCAATTTCCTTGATTCCATCAAGACACTTTTAAAGCATTAGCCTGTGCAGTAAAAAAAATTCAACTGACCCCCTTTGCCTGATGGCTTTGAAAAGTGTCCTGATGTGTAGGTATTTGCCCAACACAGCATACTTGGTTATTGCTCTTCCAACACATCCGTTGATGGAAAAATCTTATGTGAAGCTCCAATAAATGTCAGTTTATGTTATAGAACTATAAAAACAGTGCACCAGACTATAATGGTCTTTCTGATGGGCAGCCTTTCCCTGGAAGATGAAAAGAAGTCCTGCCAAGTATGTTTAAATTTAAAAATTAAGGAAAAGATAAATTGTTTAAATAATTTAGTAAACTTTTTGTTACATTCAGTTTGTTCACTGCTGTTGATATTTACTTCTATTTGTCCAAAAGATGGTGCTCATTTACAGAGAATATACTAGCATAGGGCAGTGGTCCTCCAATGTTGACTAGCATAAGAATCATCAGGGCTTGTTAAAACAAGTTTCTGGGCCCAACCCCCAGAGTTTCTGGTTCCATAGGTCTGGGGTGGAGCCTAATTTGCATTTTTCACAAGTTTCCAGGTGGAACTGATACTGCTCCTCTGAGGCCCACACTTGGAGAACCACTGGCCTAGGGGATCTGAAAGGATACTCACCTCTGGATCAGTGGTTCAAAATTTGAATCAAATCACTTAGCCTGAAAGTCATTAACATCTGAGAGCGCTCTGATGTGTGAAAAATGTGTTGATGGGCATCAATAAAGTCTTGAGTGGAGAGGCGTGTATTTGACATTTGGCTTTCTCTTTGGCAGTCTTTAAAACCCATTCCAAAGGGAAGGAAAACATAAAGACGATGGAGCTTTCGTTTTAGAGACAGTGCAGGAGAGAAAAGTATGGGAGCTCTATGTTACTGAAAAAAATAGAAACTGAACATAAGTTTTCTATGACCCATTGCCTAATAGTAGAATGAAGCTGTTGTTTATGGTATCCTGATATTTAAATTTTTCTTTTTAATGAGAACTTCTGCCCTTTAACTATGTAAAAACTCAAAGCACCTTCTTACTAGTTTTTAAAAAAGTAAACTACATTTGATATTCTGATTCTTTGAAACTTGATTTTTGTGTAAGAAATAATGGTAATTGTGTTATCCAGAATATTTCACTCTAGCTATATCAGCAGTATTTCCTCTGAAATACTTAGAATTGATCTAATAGCCTACTTTTACTCAAGAGTCTAGAGAGTTAGACACTATTTATTCATTTGTCCTTAAAATGTACCTGTGAAGTAAATAGGAGACCAAAAACAGTCACCTTTTGACGAGAAGAAATTATAATAGCAGAGAGATTTGTTGGTGTCTGAAAATCATAGAGGCAAAACTGGAAAGAAAGAAACTTAGGAACCTTAGATAGACCCTTTTAAAGAAGGTAGTGCAGCACTCAGTCTCATTTTCTTCTGGTGGAAGAATACGTATGCTAATCCGTACATGTATATCTGTTCTTACAGTGTCTAAATGCTTTATAGTGATTCGTAATGTTCTTCTGTTTCACACTTTTATTTTCTTCTATCTGTCCAAGTAAATTCCATTCAAACAAATCTTTTTTCATAAAATATTTATATCTTATTTTATAACACTGTATTTTTTAAAAGACTTCTACATAACATTGATTCATGTAATCTGCGAAGCTATTTGTCTATTATTTTTTAATGGTTTCCTTTTAAAGTTATGGAAATACCATATAATATAGAGGAGGCCCCCCCAAAATCTATCTGATTTGTTTTATTCATTGCATTGTCACCTTTTAAAAATATTTGTTGGGGCTTCCCTGGTGGTGCAGTGGTTGAGAGTCCGCCTGCCGATGCAGGGGACCCGGGTTCGTGCCCCGGTCCGGGAGGATCCCGCATGTCCGCGGAGCGGCTGGGCCCGTGAGCCATGGCCGCTGGGGCTGTGCGTCCCGAGCCTGTGCTCCGCAACGAGAGAGGCCACAACAGTGAGAGGCCCACGTACCGCAAAAAAAAATATATATGTTTGTTGAATTTGTGGCTAGCTTTGAAGCAAAACAAATGCTACTTTTTTTGTTTGTTTTTCCGGTACGCAGGCCTCTCACTGATGTGGCCTCTCTCGTTGCGGAGCACAGGCTCGGGACGCACAGCCCCAGCGGCCATGGCTCACGGGCCCAGCCGCTCCGCGGACATGCGGGATCCTCCCGGACCGGGGCACGAACCCGGGTCCCTTGCATCGGCAGGCGGACTCTCAACCACTGCACCACCAGGGAAGCCACCAAATGCTCCTGTTTTAAAGAGTTATCAGTTGCTTTGGGAGTAAGGGTACTATCTGCATTACTTAAAACTCAGTTTGAAAATAATTAAAGGTGACTGAAATTTCCATGGGTTAAATGAATGGAATCAGGTAATCAGCACTTTTCCGGAGCCCTCCTGCATTTCCCTAGAGTCCTGAGCCTACATTTTGTGATTCCCTTCCAGCACCAACCTTCTTTTTTGTTTTGGTTTTCCTCCTCAGCTAAGGATAGGTAATCAAGTCAAATGATAATGATCCACATGGTAGCAGGTATATTCTGCTGACCTTTCCCTGTGGTGCAGTGAGTACTGAAGATGGAGTCCAGAGAAGACTGCACAGAGGAGGTCAGTGCAGAAGTGGGAGCAGTTAATCTCTCTCCTGCTCTGATATCCGACAGCTGGTCTCACATGGGCCTGGTGCCAGCAGTGCCTTTACAGGCTTTGTGGCAGAGATTATTTAAAGGAGATTAATCCCTCTAAACCCCTTATATTTTAATTATTTCTGTATGTATTTATAAAACCTGCAGTCTGCTTGTTTCAGGGCACAGTTGTCCAAGCCCTTGTCTTTAACCTGGTTTCCACAATCAGACAAGTCTATCTCTGTTACCACAAAGGATACACCATTGATTTGATTTTCCTTGTTACTGAAATTGTTTGGGGTTTTTTTATTCATTTGTTTTTTGGTTGGTTTTGGTTTTTGGTTTCTGTTTGATATTAACATTACTGTTTGAGAGAATAACTAAAGTTAATATGACTTATTTTAGAATATCTGCTAAAATGCTGTTTTTGTATTACATGATAGGAATCTAAAGTTGTAGACTGTAGGATGTGAAAACCTCTCGGTATTATTAAAAAACAATAGATCTTTCAGGGTATTATATTTTAAAGATTGATTAGTGGACATGCCTACCACGGTTTCCAGCATTGTCAGCTAACTTTATGCCTGACCAGGGCATCCAGAACAAAGATTTCTGCCTTTCCAATTTATGTTATTGAGGACTATCAAAATTTCCTTCGAATTTGAGTCCACACAGTATGAAAGAACAAAAATCCTTCATTAAAAAAAAAAAATAGCTATGAACTATTCTTTGTGGCATTGGAGCATCACGTCTCTAGCCACCATGGAAGTGCTTCTGTCTTTAACATGCAAGGAAGCATTTCTGCCTCTTCATGCACTCTATTGCACCTTCTTTCCAATAGCTAGGAAAGGAATTCTTTGGGAATCATCCTCCTGAAGGTCTTCCGCCTTCTAAGGAACCTCTAATAGGGCCTGTCTTGATTTAGAATGTGTTCATGGTATTTGTATCTTCTAACTACTTGTTTTAGAAAGAAAACATGTCCGAATTAAGTACATACATAGATACATAAATAAGATCTGTGGGAGTAGCATAAAGATCTTTTACGCTCTACATATTTTGTGAATGCATTTTAATTGGTGTTAGTTGAGCTTTTTCCTTGGTCTTTCCAAAAAATGAATTCTCTTTCCTGTAACTGTTATTTTTCAATAATAGGTATTATGGAAGCATATATTACCATAAAGAATCAGATTGTAATGTAATAGTATAATACCGAATAATATAAACAATCTATTTTGTATAATATGTTCTCATATTTGAACTGATCTAAACTTCCTATATGTACAATGTTAATTTTTAAAACCATAAAAATATGCCAAATTCTATTAAAAGCTAGGGAAATCCTTAGTTAGAAATTCTTATCTGACTTGAAGACAATTAGAATATGCTTCAAAGTTTCAGGTAGAAGAATGGCATGCTTAGGACAGTGCTTGCAAAAGGGATAGGAGACCAGATAAATTATTAGGGAGGCTCTTGTAGGAATTAGTGGATTAGAAGGTTAGGACCTGGTTAAGGTCCATTACTGTAGAGAAAGAAAGAATCAGATACAGTACAGAAGGAGAATTCAATCAACTTCACTTGATGAAGGACAGTATAAGAGGTAAAGAAAAGGGATAGGTTGAATATGACTCCAAAGCCATAGGCAAAAAAGTTTTCTGGTTTTGATGTGGCTAACTTTAGGGGGCTATCCTGAAATTCATTTAAAATGTCCTAAAGAAAAAGAGAAGCCAAGAGAGAACATTTGTACACACAGAGATGTTTTTCCAAAAGAATAACAGATTCTAAGAGAAGGCTGAATATTTTAAAATCTCAGATACTGAAAAATCTCCATATAAATATGAAGATATACAGAGAAACCCGTAAAACCCCAGTAGTGTTTAAGAGCATAAGCTTTGAAGCCAGAGACTTAAGTTCTGGCTCTGCACCTTATAAATCCTGTGACCTCAGACAAAGTTACTTAACCTACCTAAGCTTCAGTTTCTTCATTTGTGAAATGAGATAACTTAATACCTACTTTATGAGGTTGTTGCGTGGATTACGTAAGAGAACACATAAATTGCTTAGTGCAGTAAACAGATTTGCTACTACCATCATTGTTTTTACTCACAACTGACTAAAATCAGTCTTTCTTGCTATATTGGCAGGCTATAGGCAGAAAGGTATACAAAATGAACTATCATTAAAGTTGCCCACAATACTGCATCTTTGTCTGTTTTGCTACTCATACAAGGCATGTATATGTTTATTATAGAATTCTAATTCATAGATGACTTGAAGTCTTTTGTTCTTATTTTTAAATCAATACCAGAAGTAATACCTTTTTATTTGACTCTTAGTTGTACAGCCATACACAAAAGTTATTAAATTACAGTTGGGAGGTAGAGGGTAGAGTAGGGGAATAAACTAAAGCGAACATTTATTGAGACTCTTAATACAATCATTCATTCCCCTTAATAAAATCAGTCACTTATGCCAGAAAAACAGCTCAGAATAGTTTTATCTTTGAATATGTGGATTTTGCTACCTCTCTTCCCATAGGCTGTGTCCTTTTTTATTGGGTCCCGAGAAAACAGCTTATGTAATATTTCTTTTGGATACCCAGGAAAGAATTTAGGCAGCAGGACTAATGTGGACAGTAAAAACTGAAGTAAAAATCTTTCCATGTTTTTAAAGATTTAAAAAATTATTCTAAAAGAGGATGAAAGTGTGTGGATGGTGATAAAAAGCCACCATTTGATTATATTTATCGGCAAATAGTTCTGAAGAAACTACAGTATGAAAAACTGAAATTGTAGCTTCAGGGGAAATAGAGGGTTAAATCTCTGAGCTGTAGAAGCAGATTGTGTTTTCCTTTTGTGATCTGGGCTGACAAGACATCAGTATTCTATTCATCTGTTGGGAATTAGGCTGTTAATCCAATCAATGACTCTTGAGTGAGCTGTGGCCTACCTCCCCCACTGGGGAACAATCGGATCAAACTGCAGATTGTTTAAGAGCACAGTGCTGTCCTCATGTCAGGTGGAATTCTCAAACGCTCCCTGGTGAATTGGGGATAGGGAAAGCTGCCTTGGCCCATTTATCCTCCTTCTTAAATAACCAGGTGTCTGCTTCATCCATAGGAAAGCATTAGGCAATAGTGACAACAGGAGTGCAATAGAAATCCATTAACTTTAGCTCACAAAAGTGTGGGTGAAAGGAAGCAATGCTTCCAAACACCCCACAAAACAGCTTATATAAAAGTTTATTCATATTTTTTCCCTACTCCTCAAACCCTAAATCATTTTTTCTGTGGGCTTTTTTTTTGGTTGTTGCTAACAATTCTATATCAGTGAATTTTGTTAACCACCATGAGCTCTTTCTGTGTATTTATACTGCCCTGCCTATATTTTTATAAGTCATCAGGGTAGAAGTAAATTTTAATATAGATTATGGGAACACTAATTAAATAAAATTTTAATTTTAAAATATCTTTCTCTGAGGAATGCTAATTAAATAAAATTTTAATTTTAAAATATCATAGTCTGAGCATACATAATTTTGACATCTTTTGCAGCCTAGCAAAATTTAATTTCTAATTACTGATTTAATAGTCCATTAAGTACATTTGGAAATTATTATTGAACTGATTAGATAGATGTTCAGGGTTGCTGTTACCTTCTATGAAATGCTATCTCAATTTTTCCTTTTAAACAGTAAGGTGAAATGAGCTATCATAAAGCAAAATATCCAGAATACAAAGAGGAATTCTCAAAGAAGGTACTTACAACCCCAATCTTAGTGAAAACAGGCTTAAAGGATAATTTTATGGCTTTCTATCTACATTACGTAGGAGTGTTCCAAAAAGAATTTCCTAAATTTGCCAATTTTATCCATTCGTCCTGCGTATATAGCACACACCTTTTATACCCAGGACTCTTCTTAAGCATTGGAACTGGGCTTCCCTGGTGGCGCAGTGGTTAAGAATCCGCCTGCCAATGCAGGGGACACGGGTTCGAGCCCTGGTCCGGGAGGATCCCGCATGCCGCGGAGCAGCTCAGCCCGTGCACCACAACTACTGAGCCTGCGTGCCACAACTACTGAAGCCCACACGTCTAGAGCCCATGCTCCGCAACGGGAGAGGCCACCGCAATGAGAAGCCCACGCACCTCAACAAGGAGTAGCCCCCGCTCACCGCAACTACAGAAGGCCCATGCACAGCAACGAAGACCCAATGCAGCCAAAAATAAATGAATAAAATAAATAAATTTATAAAACTAAAAAAAAAACAGCATTGGAATTACCACCACCATGAACAAGACAGACAAGGTCCACACTCTTTGGGAGCATACGTTCTAGTGAGGGCAACATACCAAAAACAATAAATAAGACGCTATCAGATAAGCACTAAGAAATAAGTGAAGTAGGTTGGTTACTTTGAACAGAGTGATCAAGTAAGACTCTACTGAGGAAGTAATAGTTAAACAGAGACTTCAATGGAGAGAAGGTGCTGTAAGTCATGCCCCAAATCCCTGAAACAGGAATGAGCTTGACATACCAAGAGCAGACTACTTATATGTATGCTGTTCCCCAGACCAGAGGGTTTCAGGCCTGGCAAAGCGTCTGAATTTCCTTAGGAACTCTGTAAGTATAAAGATATCTGAGCCTCTAGCTCTAGAAATATAAAGATATCTGAGCCTCTAGCTCTGGTTCGGCAGGGCTGGATAGGACGAAACCTGTGCATCCAGTGCCATGAACAGTACGGAAAACCTACTCCAGCCAGTGTAGATCGTTTCCTCCCTTGAATACATCACATTCTTACCTACTTCCATCTGTGCCTTTGCACATGTTTTTCCTTTGCCGGTAATGTTCACCCTTATCCTCTCACACATACATACATCCTCACCCTTTCAAATACCATGTGCTCTTCAAGGCCGTGTCTCAATAGGAAGCACAGAGCACTATTTTTGAAGTATTCTTACCAAAAAAAGTTGAACCCAAATTTAATAAAACCTATTAAATACATGTGATAATGATGTAATGACATCAAAAGAAAGTAAACTGGCAAATCTGGACTATGGGACATTCTGCTGAACGACTGGACCCTTTCTATAATAAGTCAGTGACATTTTTTAAAAAGTGGGACAATAAGAAACTCATTAAATAAAAAGAACAATTAGGAGCCAGAATGTAATCAGGTGCCGTAGTATGAGATATTCTGAAAGTACTTTGGAAGAGGTAATGGGGAAGAAAATGGAGAAATTAGTATGAACCACAGTAGTCAGAGACATCTTCAAGAGGGAATTGTGGCCTATCATGAACTGTAAAAGCTAGGTGCTATTTGATGGCCACTGAGGTGGGAATAGGGTTAGGTAGCAGAAACAGCTCAATCTAGATATGTGTTTTTCATGAAGAATAATTGGATAAAGTGGATCCAGAGCATGGATGCTTCGATTAAGGAATCTGTACTACTCTGTGTGTGCATGCATGTGTGTGTGTTTTTAAAAAGAGTAACATAGGGTTTCCCTGGTGGCGCAGTGGTTGAGAGTCCGCCTGCCGATGCAGGGGACGTGGGTTCGTGCCCCAGTCCAGGAGGGTCCCACATAATACTGCGGAGCAGCTGGGCCCGTGAGCCATGGCCGCTGAGCCTGCGTGTCCGGGGCCTGTGCTCCGCAACGGGAGGGGCCGCAACAGTGAGAGGCCTGCGTACCGCAAAAAAAAAAAAAAAAAAGGAGTAACATAATGGATTTTTTTAGAATGATTAATCTAGTGATGGTGTACTACTACTAGGGAGAAAGGCAACAGGGAAGAATAGCAGTGAAGAAACCATTCTGTTCATTCAGATATGAATTGATAAAGGATTTATATTTGAGTAACAACAGCAGAAGTTACTAATTTCCCAGATACCAAAAGGAAAGTGCCTATTTCATAGCACCCTCCGTGGATGTGGAACTATTTTGTGGACCTAGCAGACTGTGAAAATTTTCATTGTGACACCAGTCAGAATGGCCATCATTTAAAAGTCTACAAATAAAATGCTGGAGAGGGTGTGAAGAAAAGGGAACTCTCCTACGCTGTTGGTGGGAATGTAAATTGGTGCGGCCGCTGTGGAAAACAGTATGGAGGTTCCTCAGAAAACTAAAATAGAATTACCATATGACCCAGCAATCCCACTCCTGGGCATATATCTGGACAAAACTAATTCAAAAAGACATATACACCTCTATGTTCATAGGAGCACTGTTCATAGTAGCCAAGACATGGAAACAACCTAAATGTCCATCAACAGAGGAATAGATAAAGAAGATATGGTACATATATACAATGGAATACTACTCAGCCATAAAAAAGAATGAAATGATGCTATTTGCAGCAACATGGATGCAACTAGAGATTATCATACTAAGTGAACTAAGAAAGACAAATCATATGAAATCACTTACATGTGGAATCTAAAATATGACACAAATGAACCTATCTACGAAGCAGAAACAGATTCACAGAGAACAGACTTATGGTTGCCAAGGGGTTGGTGAGGGAGGGATGCACTAGGAGTTTGGGGTTAGTAGATGCAAACTATTACATATGGAATGGATGGACAAAAGGTCCTACTGTATAGCACAGGGAACTATATTCAATGTCCTGGGATAAACCATAATGGAAAAGAATATGAAAAAGAAAAAATATATATGTATAATTGAGTCACTTTCTTGTACAGCAGAAATTAATACAACATTGTAAATCAACTACACTTCAATTAAAAAACTCTTTTTTCATTGTGAAAGTGAAAAGTGAATGAGTAGGAAAGGAAAGAATCACTTCTTGGATTTCTCCACTGTACGTCTGATTATTTACCATAGGAGGGATTTAGAATCGAGCAGACTGAAGTATATTGAGCTTTAACTGTATAGTATTATAGAAACAGTAATGCAGTAAGCAAAACACCCTTCAGAAGAGAAAATAGTTTGGCTCTGTTCCCTCATGTACCTAAAAATATATAGACTAAGCTACAGCTTCTCAAAATATGCATACTTGAAAAAGTACAGCAATCAACCAACGAGAAGTAAAAATAAATGTGTGGTCCTGAAGAGTAAGATTATGCACTCTCTGAATGTGATAATGTCAGTTTTGAGATTATCTGGTTAATAAGAATTACACAAGCACGCTAGATATGAGACTGTAATTTAGGCTACCTTTTGTCTTTAACAAAAAGAAAAATTTTAACTGCATTTCTTCTGTGCATTGTATTTATTTGTGTTGACTCCCCTTGCTCCTTTTCAGTAGCATAGTACAGTTGAGAAAACATGTATTTTGATGCTGGGCCTTGGGCAAGTTATATATATAATCTCTCTGAGCCTCATTTTACCCAGCTTGGAAATGGGAATAATAATGTTTATGTTAAGGGTTGTTGTGAGGATTTAAAAAAAATGATGTTCATAAAGCTTCCAGCACACAATAGGTATTCAGCCAATGTTTGTTCCTTTTTCTCTCCTTATTCTAATAAATCCTCAACTGTGTAGCACACTTTGCAAAGTTAAACATTCTAGATTAGTGTGGGTTTCAAATAGCTGAACAGTTACATTCTGCTTTTTATTTTTTAACTTTTTCTGTAAATTTTTTTTTCTAAAATATATTCTATACTTCATTGCCTCCTTCTTAAATCATTGGCTGTACCACAGGTATTTATAGATGGTGAAGCATAGAGCCAAAGCTTCTCTTTCCCTCTTGAGATTGCTAAAATCTACTGGCTGGCATGCAGCCCAGCCCTCTTTACGGCTGGCTATTCTCTGTAGTCTAAAATGTCTGCAACTTGCCACCTCTGTCACAGCTTCTGATTTCTGCTGGCTGCTACTACTGCTGCCCCCATTCTTTCTTCTAATTACCATTAGGCTCTGCTGGCCCTCCTACCGTTTCTGCTCTCTAGTCCTTGCTTTCCTTCACTTTTCACTTTCCGTGTTTCTTCTGCCTCCTGTTGCATCTCATATTTCATAGACAAAGACTGGCCTTTCGTTGCTTTGTCAACCCAGCTAGAAGCATCCTTCTATACAGGAGCCAACTGGTCACAACTTTTTAAATATGATTCTTATCAGCATCTTTCCCCTGTACGGTGGGCCCTATTCCAGGTACTTGAGAATGCCAAAAACCAAGCCCCTAGATTAGTGAGGTGTAACTATATTTGATTTTCCTGCAAGTAGTTTATTTTTGTCTCATTTAACTTTTATTTTATGCCAAGTTTTGTGCTAGACAGAAGGGATGAAGGAACTCTAGGGGTCTGTAAAGTTAAACTATGCTATAGCTCTTACCTTCAAAAGATCAGGAGGACACAAGCATATTCATAAATAATATAAGGTAAAAGATGAAGGGGGATGAGGGAAAGTTTTAAGTAAGGATTGTGAAGCCTCAACGTTCTACTTCAAGTTATAAAGAAGAGTGGCGGCTTGTGAACGCAGTCTCAGAGTAGTGGGTGATAGCTTAGAGTTCGCAAGCGTCAGAACAGGGGAACAGGTCAGAGGGAGGGGAGCTTTCATGATTCCCTACCGTTTTAAAGATAGTGGTAAAGAATCACTTAGGTAAAGAGTCACGTGGGTACACTTTTTCTTATTTGAGAGTCTGTGTCTTTAAATTCCCTGTATTACTTTGTCATTCATTTGTGTTCCTTATGAATTTTTATTTGGAAACAAAGGATATGTAGGTATAGTGTAGGGGGTGTACATTTCTATGCTTTTATAGTTTGATTTTTAAGCATGGTTGGATTTTTCTACATTTTAACTTTATTATATGATTTTATTTTTAATTCAGCTGAGTATTTTTACTTTACCCTAATGTATAATCCCTTATAATGATTTCAGATGTATGACCAATGTTAATTTATTTGAATTGTTTTTGCTGTTTATAACAACTCTATATTTATTAAATTTGAACATTTCCTTTAAGCTAAAGTGGAAAGGAAAAGCATAAATAACCATGACAAACAACCCTCTTCTGGTGTGGTCATTTGAAATGAAACAACCAAAAAATTTAATTAACTTAAA